TGAAGCTTTTGCTAATCTGACAATACTTTTTTTGTATTAATATTTCCATCATTTTTGACAAGGTCGCCAAAACCATTGGCTGAAATGAAAGCCTAAACCTTCGCACAGATGGCTGTGGACACCTTATGTTGCATCCCTCTCCTGATTGCCTCCATACACCCTGATTTTAACTAAAAAATTCTAATTTGGACTCATCACTCCATAAAGTCTGCTACCACTGATTTTCAGTCCAGTTGTTCAGTTGAGTTGTGTAATTAGAGATGCCTCAGCCTTTAAGTGAAAATACATTGATGTTTTTTTTTGCACTAATAAAGTTGTGGAGTTGTAAAGTATTTTGTCTAGTGTCAATTATATCGTCAGTTATATTGTTATCGCAAATTTTCAAATGTATATCGTGATGAATATTTTTGGTCATATGGCCCTGCTCTAAATATAGGTGCCTTTTTTATGCTTGAATGACTCATAGGTCAGCGTCCAGTGTCACTGAAAATGGTCGGATGCATGGACCGGACTGAAAATAAGTGAAAAAGCAACCAGTGTACAAAGAAAAACTTTGAAAGATCTTCAGAAAACCTGGAGAACTTTTTCCTCAAGACCACTTTAAAAGGTTAAAAGAAAGTCTGGATCCTTGAATGTAAATGAAAAGAAATGAAGGGTGGCTCAAGACTTTTGCACAGAACTTCAGTGGACACATTTGGTTTGTTAGTATTTCGATACAGGATTAATGGATACAGCCACACAAAGCAAAACACTGTTAACACAGTCATGTGTGATGACTGAAACATGACATGTTGAATTATTGACAGAGCTTTGATAAATGTGGCCGCAATGTCAATGTGATTCTCACTTTCTAATTTAGATCAGTATTCCTAACATAGCTGTTTGAGAGATGTCACCTTGATGGTTTCTAGCATCAGGGCATTAGAGCAGCAAGAGAAGTTTGACCATGCAGGAGCTGCCCAACAATTAATAGGCGAATCCCCAGAATCACAGCTATCACTGCATCTGTCATGTCAGTGTTAACTTTGCAGAGTGCTGGGCAGTGCAGAACAACACTGGGTGTGACAGACAGCGTACAGTCACACATTCTGTCTCTCAAACAGGTTTTAGGGGAATAAGCATGAAAAGAGAAATTGGAGCAGTGGAGATGTGATTTATGAAAGTAAACCATCCAAGTGTGGTGAAGAACAGCGGATTGTGCTGCGGTCTGGTGAGTGAGTAGAGTAACAAGTTAACATGACTTCCACTTGCAGTTAAGACCACCGTCTGATGGCTCATCACATCCCTCCAGGACCCTTCTGATCTGTGTATCCCCTGATCTGTGACCCTTCACTGAGGCACTTTTTCTACCATGTCAAGAGGAAACTGGACCACTTCTCTCCACGCTTGTAGCTACTCTTTGTACTCTACATCTGCAACATGCTCATGTTTAACCTGAAGAAACACGGCAATTATTAGTGTGATGTGTAATGTCTGCTACATTTCTTTTTTTATACTGACAATGAGCTCTTGTCATATTGCCAGGAATAAAATTTCTGGCCATGAGATGAGAACAGTGTCTGCGCTACACCTTACTCAGTGTTGCTCTAAAGGGGAGCTAACAGTAGTTTCCCAGCTGAGAATTGACAACAAGCTGATATCGACACAAATAATCAGGCTAAATTAATAAGCAGAGTTTTTGTTTTTGCTCTAAGTGGATCTCTGCACTTAATTGGAACATCGCATCACTGAGCTCCTGGACAGCCTGAGATACAACCTGCTGGTGTTGGATGGACTGAAACAATGTCCCAGTTTTTGTTTTTTTGTTTTTAAATCGGATTTTAGTCAGGTGAGATTGGGGACCAGTCAGTGGTATCAATCCCTTTGTCATCCAGGAAATGCCTGCATAGATCACCACATGAGGCCAGACACTGTGCACCAGGAGGAACCCAGGATCCAGAGGTTAACCTGCCAGTGCTGGTATTCAAAGGCAAATGCCAATCAGGCTGTACAGTGCAGTGAGCCCAGGGCCTACTAAGCCACCCTAATGAAGTCTGTTTCTGATTATTTGGTCAGAGACATTCACACCTGTGGCCTGCTGGAGTTAATTTTGTAGCTCTGGCAGTGCTCTTCCTGTTCCTCCTTGGGCAAAGGAGCAGATACCAGGTTTGCTGTTGGATTAAGGACCTTCTACTGCCCTGTCTAACTCTG